TAGTTAACGAGCCAGCGTTTTACTCACTGAGCCAGCACAGCTCCCTTAGACTGGCGATGCCATTTATATTCCCCACCATTATCCCGGTTGGTGAAGAATAGTAGGACGTTAAACCCCATATTATTTCATTGTGTTGTCGATCTGGAAATGTGTATATTTAAGTTTCCAAGTCTTACATCTGTAAAATGCTATGGAAACTGAATCTATGACCGTGACATTTGTGTTTATATCGCCATCGGACCGTACGAACACAATGGGTTATTTTTTGTTTTTAGGTCATGGGTAATAATCATTCAACGAAGTCGCGTCCTGGGATGGATTCGTGTGATGCAGTCCCTGAATACATGTGTGTTTACATTGAAAGAATATCGAATGGTATTCGATTCATCATTGACGATATTTCATGAGATCTGTAAGTGTCAGCACTTAAAGACTTGATACAGGATCATTATGGTATACCACACAATCACCAGAAATTATTTTATATTGATGGTAATGATGATCAACATGAACTGAAGCTCAGATCTGATGATGGACCGTTTAGTTTGAGAAGATAGTGGTTCGAACTATATCGCTCCAATAGTCCCAAAATGATTAAAATCGATAAATTATTTTGTATTTTTATATATATATCGATAAATCATATTTCTATATTGTATTTTTATATATATTTCTTATTATATAATTCAGATAATTTATATGTTACGATAGGCACATTTAACTCTTACATAATGTATTTTTAAGATATGTTTTATTATTATTCAAATGGGTTTTTTATGCAATATATATTTACTGGTTTGTTTTATATATTAAGGCAATTTTTTTTTATTTTGAGTAAAAGAAAAGATTCTGTTAAATTGTATCCATTTTGTTTATTTCGATTGAAATGGGTTTTTTAATGCAATATATTTATTGGGTTTTTTATTTTGAGTAAAAGAATGGCTTCTATTAAAATGTGTCTATTTTGTTATTATGATTGAAATCGGTTTTATATGCAATATATACATTTTTTATTTTTTTTATTTACAGAAACATTTAACCCAATTTATAATTATATTTTGGACAGTGGAATGAATTTTGAATTGGATAATTAAACTCCGTGATTGATCACCTATGGTGTGTTTTCTATACATTTGGTTCATAAATAAATTGCCTTAATTACTTCACGTCAGAGGTAAAGCCAAGCTTGAGATATATCCAATTTTATCTAATTAGCTGACCCCGTGTATTTTATTCAATTTTACTTTACCTACAAATCACTACTAGCTTTTACACCTGTTATTTTATGAAAATAAACGGGGTCAACCCCTAAAAATGACAAGAAGATTTTTCAGGTTTTTGGTTGTGTTGGGTCTACCAAAATGGGAATACCGGAAAGTCCTGAATTTGGTAGGCTAAACGCCAAGGTTTTTACTAGATTACTAAAAAACTGAGGTCATTTTCTATAAATTGCAAGAAGAAGATTTTTTAGGTTTTTTGTAGTGTTGGGTGTACTGAGTGACATCCTAAAAGTTTATCAAAATGGGAGTACCGCAAAGTCCCAAATGTCTAGGGTAAATACTAAGTTTTATAAGTCAATTTTCTTTAAAATGTAAAACTTCAGACGAGCATAAAGATGTCAATTTTTAAGAGAAACAAATGAAATTGACATCTGCCTTAAGGTTGTCAGGGTCAATCTTTCATATTTTAAGGGTAAAGTATATTAGACAATCATAAAGACTTCAAGTTTTAAGAGAAAAAAAAAGAAACTGACACCTTTCCCTAGGTTGTTATGGCCTATCTTTCATATGAAATGGTTTTCATAGATGCCCGTAGCTCCCTTTTACCATTTTCGTGGGGTACCCCTAACCTACAAACCTATGGCCGATATTGTGCACTGTTTCGTTATAAAATAGAAAATTTGGTCATTAATGGATTAACCATTTAACAACCTGAGCACGTAGTTAGGGCATACTGTTACTTGTTTTGTCACAATTAATAATGACGTGTATAAAATCCCAGAACAACTTTAATCACGTGATTGGCGGTTGTTTGTAGTTTATCATAGTTTATATTTTACATGACATATATATGGGGACACCAAAATCATTTAAATACTTTGGGCTTCTGTTGGTCTTAATCCAGTCCTGAGTGGTGTTAACTGGTCTCTTACACCATTATCAGGTGCACCCCTACCCCGATCACCCAATTTTATGAATAGGAATACCTCTGCATCGCCTCGTCATATAATACAATAAACTAATGTTGTGGGGATATTTCAGTTGAAGATGTAAACATGTCTCAAAGTTTTAATCATATTTCTAAGTTGTAGCTGGTTTTTTTTAAACGCGTCAAATATTATATAAAAAAGCCGACTACACCCACTCCTCCCGAATTAAGCGAAATTTAATAGTCTATTTTGCTTATCATATCAGTGTAAAAAAGGCATCTTAATAGTTTATTGTGCTTTTTATGTCAGCGTGACACAACATCTTTGTGTTCTGTCGTAAACAAGTGTGAATGTCAGGTCAGCAAATTAAAAGATGTACGGAAATATTAGAAACTAATAAACCCCAGCAACATAGTTTAAAACAGTTATTTATAGCTATGTCATTCACCAGGAGCGGACACAGGACTTTTGAAAGAAGGGAGGGGTGCAAATGAGTTTGTGACCGAGTGAAACGAAGCAAAAAACAATTTGGACCTTTTTCTGGCCATTTTGCCTAGAATAACCCCACGACAAGTGAACTAAACCGTGCTAATTGGTACATATTATTTTGTGACAATATTATTTACGTTTCATATTTTCGCACTCTATTGTCTATACCCAGTTTTGATTTCTTATCGATGGAAACACGCCTATCATTCTCGACAAAGAGATTTAAAAACAGAGATAACCTCTAGCTGACCATGCAAAACATCTTTTTACTAGCTCTTTGAAGATTTTTTTATAAACTAATCAGTACCCACCTACCACACCTCTGTATCCGACCTGTTCACGTGCGTGCTGTATCATAAGGCCTGTCATTGAGTCAACTGGCGTGGTTTCGAATCCCCGATTGTATGTGACAAGGAGTAGGGTCGCCTGTCCAGCCTGGTGGGTTTTCTCCGGGTCCTCCGGTTTCTTCCAACTGCTAAAGACCCCTACGCGCAAGCGAATTATTAAAATAAAATTAAACCATATGTTAGTCCCGAAATGGCCTAGTTTGTGTTGAGTGGACGTTAAACCCCATTTCTCTCTCTTTCTCTCTCTCTCTCTCTCACAAAACATTATATTTAACAAAATTTACGGTTTTAAACGCGGAAGTCCCGTCAAAATTATTTACCGCGAGAAAGCCATACCCATTCCAATTCTAAAAGTGATTATTCAACCGTGTATTTGGGAAGTGTGCATTCATCCTTTTTGACCTGAATTAAAATCGGGTATTTTACATTTCTACTCTCAGTCCGCACTATTCTGGAAGTTACAGACCAATCAACACCTCCGTAATATAATCAAATAGAAGTTACAGACCAATCAACACCTCCGTAATATAATCAAATAGAATCACTTGTGAGTAGAATATATCTGTTTTATATTCTTAATAAAAGATTTAAAACAATATTACGGTATCTATACACTGAAAAAAAAACTTGTGTTGAAACAACACAAACTTGTGTTAAATTCAACACAAGTTAGGTGTCTCTATTTAACAACACAAACTTGTGTTAAAACAACACAAAACTTGTGTTAAATGTTGAAACAACACAAAACTTGTGTTAAAATGTATCAAACAACACAAAACTTGTGTTGAAACTTGTGTGAAATCTACACAATACTTGTGTTGAAACTTGTGTTGAAATTTCTGAAACTTGTGTTGAAATTTCTGAAACTTGTGTTGAAATTTCTGAAACTTGTGTTGAAATTTCTGAAACTTGTGTGGTTTCATACAAACTTGTGTATAACCATCATCAAAAACTTGTGTTGTATTTTTCCCCAATTTATATCCAGCATAGCAACCTTTCTATGCAGGACCCCTCTCTTTGCTCTGTTAGATCTGTAAAGTTTGATAAAAGAAGGAAACAAAAAAAAATTTTGTAAGATTATTATTTATTCATAAAATCATAGGAAAAAGTAAATTAATACATCAAAACTAAATAGATATTTGAAATGTTAACAGAAAAACAGAGACTTCAATTCTAATACAAATTATATTGTGTTATATATAATGACCCCTCCCCCCCCCCCCACTTTACCCATCACAAAATATAAAATAGCTATTTAAATTGTTTTTTGCCCCACACACTTTACCCATCACAAAATATAAAATAGCTATTTAAATTGTTCTTTACCCCAAAACAAGAACTGAGAATATAAAGATATGTACACAGTATCCCTACCCCATACCCCAAAATATATAATTCAAATATATCTAAATTTAATAACATCCAAACTAAGCACTAATAAGATTAATTATGCACTAAATTGAAACAATTTCAAAAACTGAAAAATGCTACAAAATCACACTACAAGTGATTTGTGAGGCATCTAGAAATAACTAGCATACACAGAAAACTAACAAAAGAAAATTGCTCTATTTTGCAGGAGTAATAAAATGATGTAGAGCCTTTTCCTCATTAAAAAAACCCCAAACAAAATGAATATTTTATAAATAAAAGAAGCAAAGCATCATGATTACAGGATTGAAATAAAAAAATATCATATGTACAAAAGATTTATATACAATCACAAGTCATAAGCCACAGTGGTTCAGTGAGCATAAGGCGTTGGCCGAGAAATTTCAACTGGATTTTCCGGCATAGTTCCCACTTTTCAGTGTTGGATATGGCAAGGGATAATTGGGTACAAGCCCAGAATCAAAAGAGAGAGAGACAGAGAGAAATGGGGTTTAACGTCTACTTGACACAAACTAGGTCATTTTGGGACTAACATATGATTTAATTTTATTTCAATATTTCGCTAGCGCGTAGGGGTCTTTAGCAGTGGGAGGAAACCGGGGGTCCCGGAGAAAACCCACAAGATTGGACAGGCGACCGTACTCCTTGTCTACAACCGGGGATTCGAAACCATGCCAGTTGACTCAATGACAGGAGGCCGTATGATACAGCATGCACGTGCTAACCATTCGGCCATCCACCCCCACCCCCCAGAATCGAAACCAACCCAACTGCGTACACTTTGAAGAACCCTTGAAAATTGAATTATTTGAATCAATGACAGACCTTCTGATCAAATGTGTGCGTGTTAACCATTCGGCCCCCCTGGGTACCCTTTAAAGAACCCTTGACAGTTGAAATATTTGATATAAGGGTAGGGTAGAATCACTCTAAGAACACAGAAAAGCAGGATATTAAAACGTATTTCATTTCATAAACAAGGGAAAGTCACCTTAATGTAGGTCAAGGTTTTTTGTAATTCTGGGTGTATTTGATCTACATTTGGTTTCTAGTAATGCCTATTAAATACTTTATGATTTCCGACCAAATTCTAAGTGATTTATATGTCAGTTTACTTGCTATATTATACATACATATTTGAAGAGAATTAAAATCTAATTGTGTTTTGGAAGAAAATTTAACATTAATAACAAAAAATAAATATTTAAAAATTGGGTCAAATGCATTCTTTCCCAGAAGTATAAAATAAATTGATGCTTGGGTTCTCTTGTTGTTATCATACATCAAATACTCTTTCAAGGGTGTTCCAGCCTAAAAAATAAAAAGTAGGCAATAAGAATACAATGTTTAAATAAACAATTTATTTTGCCACATCGAGACTGAGTCTCTATTTGGTTTCAACTTTGCGTAACGCTTATTGTGTCTTGTCCACTTAAAGACCCAGGCAGATTATTATGCTCAAATCAAATGGGTTAAAAGTCAGAAAAATGAAATGAAATGGGGTTTAACGTCCTACTGTTCTGCTCCTATACTGGGCTAATAATGACGGGCATATGCCACACAGTGTGCTATGAGGGAATTTTTGCCCGGGCAGCGGCACTATCATCTATTCTTATATCGAATTCCAACTGACAGGGCATCTTTTACGTGCATTCCAATATTCGTCTCATCGGAAGGATTAGACAGCTGTCTTTGTCAGGCCAAGTCAGAAAAAAGTCTTGAGATTTGGGACTGAAGTCTCATAATAGGTCAACTATTCACCCGGTTCATACATGTATTGTCTGCAAATCCAGATTCCCTACTACATCATTGGCAGCACCTATTTACTTGGCAATGTCTAATTATTTTTGGACCCATTCTTATTTTATTTCCATTGACAACAAATTGGATATTACCCTTTAAAATCTATTGAAATCTATTTGAAAAGTAAAATATTGTCCATCATTATTTTACTGCTATTTACTGTAAAAATACACATAGGCCCTATCATAACTTGAAGGAAATCAATGGATGTGATTGGCAAAAATCAAGCATGCCAAGTACTTGAAATAGCTGAGTCCTAGGCATTACCCCAAGAAGAATAACTAGATTACCAAGCAAGTGTATAAAACTACTTCCTGATTAAAAATACAAATATGTATGTTACTTACATTTTGCCTGATTATCAAGCTCTGTGAGAAAAGTTTCCACAATATGAATAGCCATTTCCAACTGTTTTTATCTTTCTGATGTAGTTAACTGGAAAAAAACATACTATGTATTAGATGACTTAAATTGACTCAACAGTTAAAAGATGAAAGTTTTAATTTACAGTCTATATTTTACACAAATTTCTGGAGAGAATTAAAATATAATTGTGTTTGAGAGGGATATTTAACATTAAAAACGAAAATAAAATGCAACCGATAACTTATTAGCTTTTACAATCACTATATTCTTTTTCAAAATTATAAGGAGATCACATGGCTAAGAGGGTACGACGCTGGCTCACTAGCCTGGAGGTCGGGTGTTCGATCCCTGAATTGGCTGAGAAAGTTCATCCAGATTTTCCGACGTGTCTTCCCCTTGTCAGTGATACAGGACGGAGGACCTGACAAGGACAGCTGTCTAGTCGTTTGGATGGGATAAAAAAAACGAGGTCCTGTGAATACATTGGCGTGCATGTAAAAGATCCCTTGGCAGTTGGAATTCGATATAAGAGTAGGCTGTAGCGCCACTGCCCGGGCAAAATTTCCCTCATAGCACACTGTATGGTGTATGCCCGTCTTCATTAGCCCAGTTTATGAGCAAAACAGTAGGATGTTAAACCCCATTTCATTTCATTTTCAAAATTATAAAATAATTTGATGGCTTAATTTTCAAGTATTATGACCAGGTAGAATTAGTTAATTTGAGGCCAGAGCCATTATAGATTAGCCAGAATCCTAATTAAAATAAACTCTGTAATTATATTAGAGAGACATTGTTTCATAAATTATTATCTATTGTAAAGTTATTCCAGTAAGGTATTAAGGATTATATTGTAACTAAAAACAAAGCTAAGGTATAAAAGTCCTAAAAATTGTATATATTAGAAAAAGGCGAGTTAACCACAGGCAGGCAGCAGGACATACTGAAGGGCAGGTCTCTGATATAGTGACTAGTTATTTCTTAGATGCTGTTCCTTATTAAGTTACCTATCCTGTGGGTCAGTATTATATGTATATATTATCTTTGTTAGATATTGTTACAGAATATAAGATTGTACTAAGAGAAGTGAGTTATTGAATTATTGTATGTTCAATCGTACACCTCCAACTAGATTGAACATACAACCCATCGTCGAAGGTTGGACTATAAGTAGGTCCATAAACCCTGGATGATAGTATGTGGTTGAGTTGGCAATAAATATACTTTCTACGGTTCACAATGTTTAAATAAATAACTTATTTTTCCACACGTTGAGTCTCTATTTTGTTTCAACTTTGCATAATACTTATTGTGTCTTTTCAAGTTACAGACCCAGGTAGATTATTATGCCTCAATGGGTCAGAAGCCAGAACAAAAGTCTTGAAAAAAAGACAATAATGAAAAAATAATCATTTAATTTACCAATTATCTCCACTAAGGCAGTGGTGAATACAGTATTGCAAACAGTATTACAATATGATATTAATTATATTTTACAAATTCATGCATTTGAACGCTTTATAATAATGATTATGAAAGGGTGTAACATTGCATCCATCTTATAGTTTTGAAGTCATATATCAAAACTGTATATCAACCAAACAAGCCTGCTGAGTCTCATGTTGATCGTATTTGAAATGGCATAGCGCTAGACTATGCCCCAAAAAGAAGAACTAGATTACCAAGTGTATAGAGAGAGAGAGAAATGGGGTTCAACATCCACTCGACACAAACTAGGTCATTTCGGGGCTAACATATGGTTTAATTTTATTTCATTAATTCGCTTGCGCGTAGAGGTCTTTAGCAGTGGGAGGAAACCGGAGGACCCGGAGAAAACCCACAAGGTTGAACAGGCAACCCTACTCCTTGTCACGTACAACCGAGGATGACAGGCCGTATGATACAGCACGCACATGCTAACCATTCGGCCATCCAACCCCCCCACCCACCAAGTGTATAGAACCAGTTCCTGATTCAAAAAGCAAATATGCATGGTACTTACATAGCCTTTGTCTGATAAGCAACCTCTGTAAGAAAACACTTCCACAATATCAATAGCCCTTTCCAGCTGTCTTGATCTTCCGAGGTGGCTAACTGAAAAAAAATATGCAATGTATTACATTAGTTGGCTTAAATTGACTAGACAGTTTTGATTAAGTCAAAAAATGTTAATTTAACTACATTTGTTTTGTTTCATGTGTTGGTTTGCTTTGCCACAGATGAGACAGTCATATCTAACTAAGATTCTGTCAGTGCTCATACATGTACGTGTACAGTTTTACTATACTAAACTGAATTTTAGATTTCAAAATAGCATAACAGCAATCTTTTCTATAAGAATTGAATAGTTACCCACCAAGAAAAAGCTGCTCTATCATCATTTTTTCCAGCCATTTCTTCTTCCATTTTTTTACTTTTATAATTTCTTTTGTTACATGATCTTTTCCTGGGTGATTTGCATATACATCCAATATTGAAACTGAAAAAATAAATACATGATATGTAATTTACCATTAAAGCTACCATACCATATATACAAACTGTGTGATTTGAAATTGAAACTAATGTATCTATATGTATCAAAAATTTTAATCCCAAGGAACTACCTAAGCCGTAAAAATCCATTTTTATAATCCTTGTTTGTCACATGGTTTCAATGTCGCAGTAATTAGAAGACGGCCATGGTGACTGGGTGAGTTAGGTGCTGGAATACTAGCATGGAGGCCACAGGTTACCTTTTGGGGTTGACCGAGAAAGCTCATCTTGATTTTTCAGAGTGGTTTCCCCTGAGATCCAATGTACACATTGGCGTACACATAAAAGTTCTCTTGGCAGTTTGAATTCGCTATGAGAGTAGGCCATAGTGTCGCTGCCCGGACAAACATTTTCTCTTAGCACACTGCATTAGACCAGTCGGAGCTGCTGAACAGTAGGACGTTGTCTTTAAACCCCATTTCATTTCAGGTAATCTAGTATTTTTCTAGTAAGATTGAAGTCTCTCTACTTTCTTTATATGTAAATATCATATTTGAAATAAGCCATACTTTTATTCAATATGGGGTGGGGCTGGGGGAATGGTCTAGTAGTTAATGCATTCACATGAAATCACAGGGTCTGTCATTGTGTTAAGTGGCATGGTTTCGATTTCAAGGAGTAGAGTCGCCTGTCCAATCTCTTGAGTTTTTCTCTGGGCCATTCGGTTTCCTCCGTTTGCTAAATACCCATACCAGCAAACGAATTATTCATATCAAATTTAACCTTACCTGTCCTTTTTCCCGAAACGACCTAGCGTCTGTAGGCTAAGTAGAATGGAACAGTGTGCAGGGAAAGGGTGGAAACGGAAGAAAGCTAATCGTCGTCGTAGTTGATTACCGGTATGCATATAGGCATAGCTTGGACTACTTGATTCTTCAAATACAAGTACACGTAAGGCCTTGTTTATGTCATTTTTCTCTCTCTGTTGCATGTAAGTGTCATATAAATACTTTACTTGGGATTGTATGTTCACATACACTAATCATTGTAGGACATTGGTAAAAATAGAAAATATAAAAATAAAATGAAATTGTTACCAGTTTTTCTTCAAATTCCAATTCAATGCCAAAATGGAGTCCTTGAACGGTAAATTCTCAATACGGTAATTGCTGTAACTGTAAGGTGGAATGAGTCATATCATCACTGACTGGAAAAAAATAATGAAACTATAGAGAAACTTCCACAGACTGATTCTAGTTCCATTATTTATTATTTATTAACTGTGACTGAATCAGGAAAATAGGGGCCTAATAATATTCCACAGAGTGACAGAGTCAGAGGTTGAACGGAGGGTTTGGGGAAAATATCTTCTTATTTGATTTAAGGTTGTTTTTTAAAACATAAATTAGATTACAATTCAACTAACACAAAGGTGTAAAAAGATTTTTTCTAGTCTGTGCCCGCGTTTATGTCTACTCTTGGCAAAATCTTTATAATATAAAAAATCATGAAACTAGAATCAAAATGGCCGCCAATCCAATCCAACCTCCCAAGATATAATTTCAAAACAGATTCTTACCTGCTGGTTCAAGTCGAGCCGTTTCTGGTTTAATCATAATGTGATTCTGTAATGTACGTATTTGAACAACATCGTAGCGCCGACCAACTAATGTTAATTAAGCACGATTTCAGAAAAATTGAACAGATTTGATAATAACATGCCGAAATTTTTTCCCTGTCCCCGCCCGCCATTTTAAACATGAACTTCCGGGTTAAATTGTTGGAGTTTTTTTTAAGGAAACGAAATACTAATATTATACACAAAAACAATATCGATGCTAAATTACATACATAGAGGATATTTGTCGTTTTAGAGTGAATAACATATTTTATTTCATCGAGAAGCAAGAAAACTTATATTTTCACGAATGCGTAATGTTCTATTTATTTTATGATTTTACAATCATTTTAGGTAAAAACAACTAGCCAGTGGAATAACACTTTTATTTCACTGATAAAACGCGGTATTCCACTACTGATCATAATATAAATGGTATTATTTTTTTTTATATAAATATTCACAAACCTGCGGTCTTTTATTCTCTGTGACCATTAGCTTACATTTGTCAAACATATCACTGCTCAAAAATCATTTCAGCACGCTGTTAAATGGTAAATGAATTGTGTGAAATCAATTCATTTAATGTCCGGTTGCACCGAGATGATATCGCAGACAAACTGTAGCCTATAGTACGTTGATTTTATCAACCAATCACATTAAATAATAGTTTTACTTATTTTCTTGTCAATGCATTTGGAGTCAATTGTTAAAATCACACCGGGCATGAGCGCTCAATAGGTCTTTGATCTACCAGTTTATTGGGCCCATAAAAAATCAACAACTTTATTTTAACTACAGACATCTTAACACCAATTAGCATTCAAGTCTGTCTGGCCATCATGTCTGAGTAAAAAATACTTTTCTTATACTTGTGGACGCCCGGATTAAGACTTTGTATGGAGTTCAAATTTAAAAAAAAAATATTTGTTGACGGTACACATTACTTGTGTTAATTATATGAAAAAACCCACAAGATTTGTGTTAATGCATTAAAAAGAACACAAGTTTGTGTTAATGCAATGCAAAACAACACAAGTTTTGTGTAGAATAATTTTCACAAGTTTTTTTTCAGTGTATTCCTAATAATAAGATTGTTAAAAAGTGTACAATGTTGTGGTAATCTATTCCTATGATATTCTTTGGAACCCTAAATAGTCGTAAATGGACCTAACAGCACGAAAGTTGAAAAGTCGAAAAGTAGAAGTTACGACAAAATGTGAGGAGACAACACGGTATACGAGCCAAAATCAACTCGAAAATAGGAAATTAAGAAATAACACACAGCGATAATAGCGCCCATCGTTTTTTCCTAATTTCTTATTTTCGACTTGCATTTTGGCTTGTATACCGTCTTGTCGACTTTCGACTTAGTCATATTTTTGTATTTATTGATGTCAGTAAGAAGGCGCCAACACGCATACCAAGCCAAAATGCAACTCGAAAAGTAGAAAAGTTGTTGTAGTCTCAGTTTTCCAGGTCGCATTTGAATACGTGCAATCAGGGCTCACACTGTATTTTATTCTTTTCCGTCAAAATGGATAATAATTTTTATATAAAAAAAAATAAATGTTCATATTTTTTTCCGCCAATTGGGATATTTTATCTGCCAAAAATGTCTGTTAAGCCAGCCTGGAGTTCGGGTGTTCGATCCCTGCATTGGCCGAGAAAGTTCATCCAGATTTTCCGGCGGATTCCCCCTTGTCAGTGATGCAGGACGGGGGTGGGGGACTGGTCTATATTTATGTTAAGTTCAGCCATGTAACTGATGACCTACTATTAGCCCAGTGAGGAGATATTGGGTGTGGTCTGACTTGGTGAAATATTTACTCCAGCTATTGATACCTGTTTTAGCCAAGTAACTTATGACCTAAGGGTCAAACCTGTTATTATATTATTTTGTCATTAACTCCTGGACTATGTCGAGCATAACCCAATCAGCCCAACAGATTAAAATTGGCCGTGTCGCGTGCACCGCAGATAGCTCCATGTTTAGACATACGAATTCTGATGGTATTTTTATTACGATATATTCCATTAGCAGGCGCTGGCTTTCTATCTCGGTGTTGCGTGAAATCTAGTAGTTAACTTATACTTAAGATATCCTTTGAATACGGGCCTATCTCCACTAAATGAAGCATCGCATTTGACAGCTAACGCATCCTAAGCGAGTCATGTTTGTTATTGTTCTATTGCACGCTCTACATCATATCCATGTTAGCGTTAAATCAAAACAAAAATAATAATTAAGAAGCTCGTAAATATCTTTATTTTGTCTAGAATAAGATGCATAAAAATCATGAACATGTCTTGTGTTTAAATATATTACAACTTCCTTGAATACGGTATATTTATTACCGGTACGTTCTATCTCCATCGTTACTAGACAGCATGTTGATATACTGACAATAAATCCATTAATATATATTCCCAAATATATCTCATAATGTTATTTTATATTGTTTTAGGTCATGGATAATTCTAAGCTACTACGTGCCTCTTTTGCTGACACGGTTGTATTTGGTGCGTCATCTGATGGCCATATTTATGTTAACATTGAACGAGTATCGAATCGTAGTCGATTCACCATTACCAATATTCCAAAAGATCTTTTGGTGTCATCACTTAAAGACATGATACAGGATCATGATGGTATACCACCCGACCATCAGAAACTATTGTATATTAATGGTAATAATCATCAATATACTCTGAAGAATCATCGTGTATTATCCTACTATCATGTTTTTTATGGTTCTACTATATACTTAGCTGATCTGAGATCTGATGATGGGCCGTTTGATTTGAAAAGACAAAGAGATGATGGTTGTAAGATCGTGTCGGGTTTGGTGGATCTGTTCGAACAACACCGCTCCAATGGCCCCTAAATGATTAAAATCGATAAATCCTATTCTTATATTGTATTTTATATATATATATATATGTTTCCGTTTATAGGCCTAACGGGGGGGGGGGGGTGGATGGCTGAATGGTTAGCGTGCTCGCGCTGTATCATAAAGTCTGTCATTGAGTCGACTGGCGTGGTTTCGAATCCCCGGTTGTACGTGGCAAGGAGTAGGGTCGCCTGTCCAACCTCGTGGGTTTTCTCCGGGTCCTCCGGTTTCCTCCCACTGCTAATTATGTAAATAAAATTAAACCAAATGTTAGTCCCGAAATGACCTAGTTTGTGTCGAGTGTACGTTAAACCCCATTTCTCTCTCTCTCTCTTTATAGGCCTAACGATATATAATACGCGTTCTGGCTTTCTTCACATAATCTTCTTTATTTAAACATCTGTTTCCTATGTACAATTTATCAATTGTTATAAACTATTATTATATAATTATTTTAATCCTAAGCTGGTATAGTCTGGTGATCGGCTCGCCCTAGCAATACCCAGAGCCTTATATATATATATATATATATATATATATATATATATAATATATATATATATATATATATATATGTAAGACCCTAGCGATACCCATCTCCTTCAACCGGGTTAGATATTAAAGGAGGCACATTTTTATAGAAGGTTTTTATTTGTATATATACTTGTTTTATTTTTAAAATATCTGATATACATTAAATATTGTTATTTAATTTTAATAGTGTTAACTGTTATACTTGTTTTTATTTATGGATATTAATATTATGTGACTTCATTTAAAACCATTTATAAAATCCATTTCAATGGAAATAAACAAAATTTGAAAAGAAAAACAATAAATATATATTGCATTAAAAATCCCATTTCAATCAAAATGAAATATATATTATCTTATCTGGAAATAGATAAGATCATCAAAACATCGTCATTAGCATCGTGCACTCTAGATCACATTCCTACTTGCCAACTAAAACAGTGTTTTGAAGTGATGTTCCCAGCTATCACGAATATTCTAAATTTCTGGCTGTATGTCGGGGGTTCTGAAAGAGGCGTTAGTGTTTCCGCTACTACTAAAACAGCCCAGTCTTGATAAAAAATTACTAAAGAATTACAGACCGGTTTCTAATCCTTCTTTTCTTTCAAAAATTATTGAGAAAGCTGTTTTATTCGAATTTAAGAGACATTTGCATCATAATAACCTCAACGAAGAGTTCCAATCTGCATATAGAAAACAACACAGCACTGAAACCGCCTTATTACGTGTTCAAAATGACATTTCCAAACGACATGGATAATAAACAAACATGAGTACTAGTCCTGCTTGATCTAAGCGCTGCGTTTGCCACGATAGACCACTTAGGCTTTTTAAAAGGTTGCTGAACAACTTTGGTGTTAGTGGAATAGCCCTTACATGGTTCCAGTCATACCTTGAAAACCGTACACAGACAGTTGTTATCAAAGGTTCCACGTCTAAATCAACGCCACGGTCTTAAAGTATGGCGTGTCACAGGCTCCGTTCTCGGCCCTTTAGTGTTTACTACGTACACAACATCTTTAGAAAATGTTATTCGTAAACCCGCTCTTAACTACCATCTGCATTCAAATTTATATAACTTTTGAGTCTTCTTCTGAAATATGCAAACTTGAGGCCTGTTTATCAGATATGCGTAAATGGATGGACTCAAATTTATTAAAACTCAACGATGAAAAAACAGTAATAATGAAAGTCGGCAGCAGACAGCAACTACTAAAATCTAAAACAGAAAACTATCAAAATGGCAATATCTCTATTAAACCAACAGATTCTGTAAAAATCTTGGTGTTTATTTTGACTCTCATCTGGACATGAATAGACAAATCTCGGCCATGTGTAAAAGTATTAATTTTCAGATTTATAATATTGGAAAAATTAGATCTTTCATTGATAGTGACACGACTAAAATGCTGGTAAACACTATGGTTACATCAATACTGGCCTACTCTAATTCACTTTTTGTACAATCTACCAGAAAACAAAATTAAACGACTTCAGAAACTTCAAAATAAAGCAGCCCGGATCATAACCAAGACTAAAGAAAATGAAATTTTGCCCAGGCAGCTGCGTTATCGCCTACTCTTTTATCGAATTCCAACTGACAAGGGGTCTTTTATTTGCATTCCAATGTATACACGGGACCTCGGTTTTTTTTGTCTCACCCGAAGGACTAGACAGCTGCCCTTGTCAGGCCCTCCGGTCTGCACAACTGACAAGGGGAAACCACGTCGGAAAATCAGGGTGAACTTTCTAGGCCAAAGTAGCAGACGATAAACATCTACTACTAATGGGTGTTCAAGCTGTTTACTATTAATTGCTTGAAGCGAGGACAGAGAATCAGATATAGATGCTCATGATAGGGTCTAAATATGGTGTTAAATGAAATATGAGTTGGTAAAGATGCTATTTTCGTAGCATACTGCAGGGCCAGTTTATCACGTTCCAGCTAAATAAAGAGAAAATAGAACAAGATTTTCCATTGACCCGACTTCCGATTAGGAAAGTAGGTTAAGAGGGCTGGAATGTATGGAAGCTAAATAGGGCCATGATATTTATTTTAATTTTTTACTACAATTTCGACTTGAACTTTAATAATGGAACTAGCAGGCGTAAACGATGTGGACTGTTCGCTTATTTCACCGAATGGGGGGTTGGAGGGCCGAATGGTTTGCACGTGCACGCTGTATCATAAAGCCTGTCATAACTTTCCTTCGCGATTTAACGATTAAATGGATAATCGATACTATGCTGTTTATCGTACTGACTTTAGTAATGATGATCGAGGCTAGGCGGGAATTTCGAACGCTTAGTTCTCGGTTCATAGTGGATCGATTTGAATGAAATCTTCAGCATTTTCACGGTAGAAGTAGACGAATGTATTGAAGGTATATTATTTAAGAGCAAAATCTGCCTGATGTATGTCTTATTTCTGGCTTCAAATGTTATATATATACTGATGTCCAAAAGAAAGTATACACACTAAAAGTATGACTAAGTTTTGTTTAGATTAAAAACATTTGATAAAGCATTACTGAGTTTGTCTCTTGCGTCCAAACTCAACATTTCTAAGCAAAATAAAAATGTGAAACAAATTGACATTCTACCCAAATACCGTATACCATGGAAAAACGACTTTGGTTGATGCAGCACAAAATGCACAGTGTATACTTTCTTTTGGACATTAGTATATTATCATTATGCATTTATTCACACCGAAAGCCAATAATCAACTCTCTAGAAATCATCGAATGGCTGGGGTATTAAGTGGATTAGACCATATCCGCCATATGATCGATTAACCTTAATATGAACGCCACTCAATAACATGACCGATCGAGAATTCGTTTATAATCATGGCAATGTTTGGCAATCGGTTATTTCTTGTCATAACTTCGCCCAAAATGAAACACTTTGACTTAAACATTAAATATATCTATATTGTAACAAAGCATGTATAGAAGAAATCACAGCTCCACTTTTATTCTAACAGTTCACAAACTTTCTGAAACGTTTAAATTAAAATTGAACATTTAAATATCCACACACTACTTTGGTGATAACATGATCTTCTCCTTATTATCATATACCCTATGCCATAACTTTTATAACTTTATTTCTATTGTTCAGATAGCAAATTATTTATACAGTTAAACCAGCTAAAAGCCTTTATGTAAGAGGTACAGTTTTTTTTTCTTCTTCAATTTACAAAAAACAACCCATTTATTCACGACCAAAATAAAATTAGTATTGCATCATAAGGTCTATAATTAAGTCATGTGGCGTGTTTCCGATTTTCCGCTTGTACGTGACGAGTGAGTTTTCTCCGAGTTTTCCGGTTTCCTACCACTGTTAAATCGAATTAATGAAAGCAGATTAATGAAATAAAGAGAGAGAGAGAGAGAAATGGGGTTTAACGTCCACTCGACACAAACTAGGTCATTTCGGGACTAACATATGGTTCAATTTTATTTCAATAATTCGCTTGCGCGTAGGGGTCTTTAGCAGTGGGAGGAAACCGGAGGACCTGGAGAAAACCCACGAGGTTGGACAGGCGACCCTACTCCTTGTCACATACAACCAGAGAATCGAAACCACGCCAGTTGACTCAATGACAGGCTTTATGATACAGCGCGCACGTGCAAACCATTCGGCCCTCCAACCCCCCATTCGGTGAAATACGCGAACAGTCCACATCGTTTACGCCTGCTAGTTCCATTATTAAAGTTCAAGTCGAAATTGTAGTAAAAAATTAAAATAAATATCATGGCCCTATTTAGCTTCCATACATTCCAGCCCTCTTAACCTACTTTCCTAATCGGAAGTCGGGTCCTTCACATAGTCAGCAGTCTTTTTGGGTGTGTCGATGGGTGTTTCTTAAACGTCTGAATAACTGTGTACAAATCACGATCTATTTGTAAGGCCAACTTCAAGTTTGGTCAAAGGTCACGAGATGTGAATAGACCCATTAACCATAAATGAAATGAAATGAAATGAAATGGGGTTTAACGTCCTACTGTTCTGCTCCTATACTGGGCTAATGAAGACGGGCATACGCCATACAGTGTGTTATGAGGGCAATTTTGCCCGGGCAGCGGCGCTACGGCCTACACTTATATCGAATTCCAACTGCTAAGGGATCTTTTACGTGCACGCCAATACAGCTAGGGATCGAACACCCGACCTCCAGGCTAGCGAGCCAGCGTCTTACCCACTTAGCCACCTTCACCATAAATAGACCATCTAATAGTATGTCATTTCGGGACTAACATATGGTTTAATTTTATTTCAATAATTCGCTTGCGCGTAGGGGTCTTTAGCAGTGGGAGGAAACCGGAGGACCCGGAGAAAACCCACGAGGTTGGACAGGCGACCCTACTCCTTGCCACGTACAACCGGGATTCGAAACCACGCCAGTCGACTCAATGACAGACTTTATGATACAGCGCGGGCACGCTAACCATTCAGCCATCCAACCCCCGTCATCGGCAAAAGATTGAACTCTTCAGCAAATGATAAAGTTAAGGAAATAAGAGAGGGAGAGAGAGAAATGGGGTTTAACGTCCACCCAACACAAACTAGGTCATTTCGGGACTAAAACATGGTTCAATTTTATTTCATTTAGCAGTGGGAGGGACCCGGAGAAAATCCACGAGGTTGGACAGGCGACAAGGAAATAAGATATACCTGACCTAAAAATAACCCTGCAGAGAGCCTTTAATAATTGAAACCTCGTCCAGTGCATTTTGTTTTAGTTTATACAAATTCACTCCCCTAACCCTTACCCTGGACCTAGCCCTAATGCTTACCCGAACCCTAACCTACAATTTCGCCAAAAATCACGTGACCTAACCTTATTTACATCTCAGCGACCTTGACGCAAATTGAGTTGGCCTTAACAAATAGATTTAGCTATCACGTCCTGTGTTGATGCGCGTTTGGCATAGTTTATCTATTTATAGATAAATGGAAATACCCACTTCTTGATCCCGCTATCTTGTTGGAGGGAAATACCACTTGAGACTGCTGACGTGTTGGAGGTAAATTGTTGTAACAGTGCGAGCATAACGGTACAACTGTCCATTGTAGGTGAGTTTTTATTTACATCCACATTTAAATAATAATTTAGCTAAGATTAGGACAGAACATATTTTATAATATTTAATTAATACATTTTAACTGAACATGTTATGTAAGACTGTGGTGGCAGGTCACGTACACATGACCGTAAAGTCGAAATAAGTTTACTTTAAAAATGGGCATACAGTAAATAATTTTGGCAGTTTTATCATTAAAATAGATTTAGACCCATATACAGAATTAAATATTTTCTTGCTTTTATTAAATGAAATATGAATAGAAACTTCCTGCAGTTATCGTCAGAAACAGTTATTACTATGGAATTTCATCTCGGGTCAACCTACGGAAGCTAAATAGGGCCATTCTATTTTTATAATGTGCTGTAAATTTAAACTTGGGTTACTTATAGTTACTTCTATTGTATATTGTTGATTTTTTCCAGTGGTTATACAAGATCCAGCTTCAACTGAATAATTTCAGTGGTTATACAAGATCCAGCTTCAACTGAATAATTCCAGTGGTTATACAAGATCCAGCTTCAACTGGATAATTTCAGTGGTTATACAAGATCCAGCTTCAACTGAATAATTCCAGTTGGCAATTGAATAATTCCAGTGGTTATAAAAACCCCTCGTCCCCTGAAGAGGTGAGTACATGTAACTATTCCCCCTAGCACGCGATGAAAGGGTCTACATACCAGGGGCGGATCCAGGAATTTTTGCAGGAGGGGGTTTGCCAGGTTCCTGTCATCATCGTCTCTAAATTACATAGGCATACAAATTGAGCTTTTTAAAGAGAGGAATCATTTTTATAATGATGTAGGAACAACATTGTGATTTAATTTCATTGATGCAAGGCATCCATTTTATTTTATGTGGCTGTGCAGGGTGGGGTTTGGACCCCCCCCCCCTCTCGATCCGCCCCTGCATACATACAAACTACTACAATAGAGTTACTAAAATAAAATAAATATTAAAGTTTAGCTAGAGGCGTGCGAAACATTACTCCATCAGACAATACAATTAAAGGAGGCCATGTCGCGTGCACCATAATTAGCTCAATGTTTAAACAGACACTGGTGGTATTAAAGATTACGATACTTTATATTATCAAGCCCTTTATTCTGATGATATTTTTAATACGGTCCTTTCCATTATCAATCTTATGATCACTGTGGGAATTTCTAACATTGTTTTCTTCAAGGAGCAGTAGTGTAGGACGAGCCCTTAACAGAATGTGAAATAAATAGTATGCCGTAGCGCCACTGTCCGAACCGAATATCTCTGATAGCACTGCACGACGTCATTTTCCCGGTTGATGAAGACAAACAGGACATCAAAAACTCCGGTTCATTTATTGTGTTGACGATTCCATACAAAAGATGTGGAAATGTGTATATTTATGTTTGCATGTCTTATATAAGTAGGGGGGTTGGATGGCTGAATGGTTAGCGTGCGCGCGCTGTATCATAAAGTCTGTCATTGAGTCGACTGGCGTGGTCTCGAATCCTCGGTTGTACGTGACAAGGAGTAGGGTCGCCTGTCCAACCTCGTGGGTTTTCTCCGGGTCCTCCGGTTTCCTCTCACTGCTAAAGAGCCCTACGCGCAAGCGAATTATGTAAATAAAATTAAACCATATGTTAGTCCCGAAATGACCTAGTTTGTGTCGAGTGGACGTTAAACCCCATTTCTCTCTCTCTCTTATATAAGTACGTTGCTATTGAAACAGAATCTATGACTATAGCACTTGAATTTATATCGTCACGAACAATGACTGCCACATTGAAATATGGTAGTATATTGTCGTCGTTCACAATTGATAGAGGCTAAATTTAAGTTAATATCCGAATGGCGTTAAATTTATACACGTTGTTTATGGCTATGAGACGAAGGAGCCCATTGATTTTCAACGATTTCCGATAATTAGGGCCAGAGTTATGGCTCTTGACCACGTTCAAAAATCTTATGGACGCTCTTTAGACTAAGGTGAGTATCCGATTGACTATAAATTTAAACACAGTGTTTAAAACAAAGAGACAAAAAAGTCTATGGCTCGTCAACGATTTCCGATAATTTCTGCTAGAGTTATGGTCCTTCATCAGTTGTAAAATCTTGTGAATGTGCTAGAGGCTAATGTTAATATCAATTTATACACTGTGTTTAAGGTCATGAGAAAAACAATCGAAAACAAATTCTAATGATTTCTGATAATTATCTACTGGTAATCCGATTTTAGTGTGTTGTAAATGTCCACCTTACAGACAAAAGAAAAAATATGCCACAAACCTTGTTGATTGCTCAGACGACTTAGCTGTTGTGCGCATATGTTTCGTTGCATGACAACCTATCTTTGGTTTTCCCAAAGAAATAAGTAGCAATTTTTTTTAAAGTTTTCCAAAAGTTTTCAAATTATGAATTATTACGTCGGTTTTTTATTATTATTTTTTTTTAGAGATGAGTGGATTTTTTTCTTCATTCTTTGAACCTGCAGTCTGTAAGGCTAGGGCTGAATATCCAGTCTCTCAATACATAGACGTTTACATACAAAGAATATCAAATGGTAGTCGATTCATCATTACCAACATCTCAGAAGATCTGTATGTATCAGCACTGAAAGACTTGATACAGGATCATAATGGTATACCACCTAATCATCAGAAACTATTTTATATTGATGGTAATAATGATCAACATACTCTGAAGAGTCATCATAAATTATCTTACTATCATGTTACTGATGGGTCTACTATATATTTAGCTGATCTCAGAACTGATGATGCTTCACCTCGCTTGAGGAGACGCTAACATGGTTGTTCCAAGACCAGAGTTCAATCTAGTAAATACAGGTAGACACAGGTATATATTACAGGTAATGTTACCAGGTAAATACAGGTAATGTTACCAGGTAAATACTGGTAGTGTTATCAGGAATATACATGTAATATTACCAGGTAGATACAGGTAATGTTACCATGTAGATACAGGTAATGTTACCAGGTAGATACAGGTAATGTTATCTGGTAAATACAGGTAATGTTATCAGGTAAATACAGGTAATGTTATAAGGTATTTTACAAATGTAGATCTAGACTTAGTTAGTCCAGCCATCAGTTTAAAGTTCTATATATATTACAAACATATATCTAGACTTGGTTAATCCAGTCATCCAGTGCGGTTTATATTACAAATGTAGATCTAGACTGGGTTAATCCAGTCATCCAATGCTATATATATTACAAATGTAGATCTAGACTGGGTTAATCCAGTCATCCAGTGCTATATATTACAAATGTAGATCTAGACTGGGTTAATCCAGTCATCCAGTGCTATATATATTATACATGTAGATCTAGACTGGGTTAACCCAGTCACCCAATGCCATATATTACAAATGTAGTTCTTGTTATATACTATTCAAAAAAAGTAGGGGATATTTGATTTTTAAGTGTTATTAAAGTCACCTAATGAAACTGACGAAGAAACAAATGACAAAATGAAATGAAGTTCACATTCATCGATTTATTCCAAATGATCGTTAGACTAAGTAAGGCACAGACTGACCATTATAAGGGTAAAATGATACCCGGGGTCAAACAGCAAAGTTACCACAGCATCACAACCAAGTCAGTAAAGGGTAAATCCTCCTCTGTTTGCCAAACAAGCATTGATCCGACGTGGCATACTCCTAATGAGACGTCTAAGGTCATTTTGGTCCAGATTGTCCCATTCCTGTTGCAACGCAGCAGCAAGTTCTTGGACATTGGCAGGACGTTGTTGACGTTGACGTAACCTCTGTCCAAGCATGTCCCAGACATGCTCGATGGGGGAGAGGTCGGGACTCAGTGCTGGCCAAGGTAATGTGGTGATGTTCTGTTGTTGGAGGTAACCTGTAACGATCCTGGCCCTGTGACATCTTGCGTTGTCATCCTGGAAGATGAAACGGCGGCCATGACGTCGTGCGAACGGCACAACATGGACTGCCAAGATGTTGTCCCGGTAGTACTGGCCTGTAACACGCCCAGCAACAGTGATGCCTCCCCACACCTAACAGAACCACCCCCAAATCGATCATGTCTGATGACGTTAACGTCTTGGAAGCGCTCGTTTCGACGACGCCACACCCTCCTACGTCTGTCCAAAAAATCAACAGTGAACCTTGACTCATCTGAAAACATCACATTGCTCCAGCGTCGATTATCCCAGTGTTGACGATCCCTACACCAACAAAGTCTTGCCTGAATGTGATGATCTCTCAAACAAGGGATCACGCGAGGACGTCGGGCGCGAAGGTGACCTCTATGCAGTCGATTCCGAATCGTCTGGCCACTCACTCTCACACCAGTGTCTGTTTGAAGACGAGCGCTGATCTGATTTGCTGTGATGACACGATTTCTCAAGGCCAAGGTACGGAAAAATCGATCCTGGGCTTGAGTTGTCGCCCTTGGTCGACCTGAGCGTGGTCTGTCCTGTACAGATTGTGTATCACGGTATCTGGACCATAGCCTGCTTATGACAGACGGAGAAACATTCATCGTCCGCGCCACAACCGCCTGTGTTGTGCCGAACTGTAGCATGCCAAGGGCACGTAACCTTTCATTTTGGGTAAGCCGACGCATATCAAAATTTGTTTTCTGGTCACTAAAACAATTAAACTGATGTTTCCACCCTGGAATTCAATGCCACAATGACTGTAACATTCAAAGTCAGAGTCGTGCAAATCTTGGGTTGGACCCCCATGATGATCCCAAGCATCACCCGCATTCCATGCGGTAGCTATTGGTGCGTTTGGGCGTCACATGTAACTGGAAATGTTTCTTCTGTTAGGTTCTATAGTGACTTTTTTCGTAGTCATTTGCATATTTTAGTATTATGCCCCCAAAATCAAATATCGCCTACTTTTTTTGAATAGTATATTTAAATCAAGGCTAGTAATAAGTTTGTCTTTTAATCCCCTTGTTGAACCTAGAAATAAGGTTTTCTTTTAATACCCTAGTCGAACCTAGTAATAAAGTATGTCTGGTATTTGTCAGGTCGGACCTTTTTCACCATTTCACCATGCTAAAATTTGTTATTTCTAGTCATGTTGCAGGTTGTCATGTTTTTTGTCATCCAATCAAATCAAATCTCATCCAGTGCTATATATATTACAAATGTAGATCTTGTTATATTCAAATCAAGGCTAGTAATAAGGTTGCCCTTTAATCCCCTGGTTAAACCTAGAAATAAGCTTTTCTTTTAATACCCTAGTCGAACCTGGTAATAAAGTATGTCTGATATCTCTCAGGTCGGGCCTTTTTCACCATTTTATTGCTAAAAATTTGTATTTCTAGTCATGTTGCAGGTTGTCATATTTTTTTGTCTTCCAATCAAATCTCACATTGTTTAAATTTAATCTCGCCATTGTTTTTATTTAAGAATGATACTGGTGACAAGTCAAATCTCACCATTGTTTTTGTTTAAGATAAAAAAATCCTCGAGTCTGATATTGTTTTTAGGGAAAGTATTTTATATTACCGGTGGTTTTGTAACTATGCCTTGATAACATTGTTCAACAGTATTAAACCTTTTCATAAATAACATATTTCCTGTGTTTTTGTTGATTTATAGAAAAGCTAAACAGTGTTATAATGTGTTTTATATTGTCGTTCACGCCATCGTTCCGTCTGGTTTCATCGCTACAGACATTTTAACCGATTTTCGGTGTGATAGATTTCTCTGACAGGGTAAGCTTACTCTTCCCCACACCTGTTACCACTGTTTGTCGGGTATTTTGTACACGGTGAACAGCCGATATGCTGATTACACTATTTTGCCTTTTTACACTATTTTGCCGATACCGTTTTTTTAGGACTTCGAATTTTGTCTAATGGTTTGGATTGTTCGTACTTGGTTTTATTTTCTTCTTATACTCTGTTATTTCGCTATGTTACCACATTTTACAAGATATTTAATTGTGATAAGAGTGGTGTTAGTCTGTGGTGTTTTTTACCACAAGAGTTCCAAGAGATATTGACCTTCAAGAAAAAAAAATTCAACTATTTCTTCCACCACACATTCCATAGACTCTAAATTTTCATGCAATTGTTTTCTTGTTTATCTTGTGGAACTCTTGTGGTAATAAATTCCCACATAAGAGTCCCCAATCCTTGCCATAAATGCAAAGTTATCAGCCGATTGATTTTCAAAATTTTATAGAAATCGTGTTATCACTGTATAGGCTGGAATATATGAAATTTATATTGGTTTTGTTGGAGTTACTTTCTGGAAAATAAAATAGTAATATTACAGTTTTACATATATGAATGATCACTAAGCAATGAGAAACTCTTAAAAGGAAAGGGTTTTACAATTCACTCAGTTTTATACACCCACATTTCCAACAAGCGGTTGCCATGCAACATACGCCCGTATTGTGTGCAAGAGATGGACGGAGAACAGGGAAAATCAATAGGACTCATCCTCTCATTGTCCATTATATGTTTAAATCGAATTTGAATGAGGCTAAAAATGTGATATTTTGTACAATCAGGGGCGATAATCCACAAAGTTACGGTCCAATACATGCCACTATTCAAAGGAAGCGATACCTTTGTGATATAAACACATATTTCAAGTTTTTTCAAAATCGGTTAAAAGTTGTAACCTGTAGAGTATCCACAAACAAAATGTGAACCAATATGTACGTATAAGAATCTTTCAGTTGGAATACCAAATAAAGGTCCACTCTGGCACCGTTATCCGGGCAAACTTTCCCTCATAGCACACGGCATGGCATATGACCGTCTTCATTTGACTGCTAAAAACAGTGTCCGGGCAACATTTCCCTCATAGCACACGGCATGGCGTACGCTCATTCGGTGCAGTAAAGTAGAGCGATAAACGCCATTTCATTTTTATATGCTGAATAAATTTTACCGATGGGATATTTGTCTAGAAAAGCCTTTGGGATGACCGTTTTATTACATAAACATGGGTATATCTATGAGAAATAAAATAGCAGTAGGTTTATACCTGCCCTAGTTGGCTGTGGTTAATTAAGGTGTCTGGTTTATACGTGCACTAGTTTGTTGTGATTAAAGAGCGTATGGCTCTATTTTGTTAACCTTGAAATAGACGAAAGTGGTTCTAAAAGTACACATTAATGGAATATGAATGTATCTAAAGTGAATTATATCCAATTGTTGAACAAATATTGTAATTTATAATCAATTATATTCGGTGAAATACGCACACATCGTTTACGCCAGCTAGGTCCATTACTAAATCGCGATTTCAAATGTGAAGATAGTAAATCGAAATGTGAAGATAGTAAGTCGAAATGTGAAGATAGTAAGTCAAAATGCCAAGATAGTAAGTCGAAATTCAAAGTGACTAAATTGAAAGTTGAGGTTCCAAAGTTGATTTTTTTGTAAAAAATTAAAATAAATACCATGGCCCTATTTAGCTTCCGTACATTCCCGCCCTCTTAACCTACTTTTCCTAATCGGAGGTCAGGGCCTCCACACAGCCAGCCGTCTCTGAGGTTGTTGGCAGTTTCTTAAACGTCTGAAAAACTGTGTATATCACGCCGTGTGTCTATGCACGGAAAGCACAGCTTATCTATTTATAGATAAATGGAAATACCCACTTCTGGAGCCCGCTAGCGTGTTGGGAGGACAATATCACTTGAACCCGCTGACGTGTTGGAGGAAGATTGTTGTAACAGTGCGAGCATAACGGGACAACTGTAATTGACCATTGTAGTTGAGTTGTTATTTAAGTGTATTTAGAGACATCTTCATCTAATTAATAATTAAGATGGGGTTGGATGGAATTTTAATAGCTGAGTGATGCATTTTAACCGTGCAGAACGGAGGGCCTGACAAGCACAGCTGCCTAGTCGTTCGGATGGGACGAAAAACCGAGGTCCCGTGTACAATTGGCGTGCACGTAAAAGATCCCTTGGCAGTTGGAATTCGATATAAGAGTAGGCCGTAGTGCCGCTGTACGGGCAAAATTTCCCTCATAGCACACTGTATGGCGTATGCCCGTCTTCAATTAGCCCAGGTTAGGTGCAGAAGAGTAGGGCGTTAAACCCCATTTCATTTCGTTTGCATTTTAACCGAACACAATGTAAGACTCGGTGTGGCAAGTCACGTACACATGCCCTTAAAGTTTATTTTAAAAATGAGCATGCAATAGTTTTGACAGCCTGATCACTAATCTTGATGTTGAACCAAATGTAGAATAAGATATCCTCTTATATTTATTAAATGAAATGAAAATAGAAACATTCTGCGGTTATCAACAAAATACTATTTGGGAATTTCATCTCAGGTCAAAGTTACGGAAGGCAAATGGGGTCATGTTATTTTTGTACTATCAACTTATATTACGTTACTTATAACTTCTTCCAGGGCCTTATAAGGCTCTGACTACTTCCATCATCTATATTTTGTCCACTCTCTAACTAGGGCCATGTTATTGTTTATAATGTGCTGTATCTTTAAACTTGAGTTACTTATAATTACTTCTATTGTCTATTGTTGATTAATTGTTGATTAAGACCCGTATTTAACTGAATAATTCCAGTGGTTATAAAGACTCATCTTCAACTGAATAACTCCAGTTGTTATAAAAACCTGTCTTCCTCTAAAGAGGTGAGTACATGTAATAACTTGTACTGATTGACTCGTGTGAGTAGCCATTTCCCCACTGACCAGTGATGAAAGGAACTGCTTAAACAAAATAAAAACAAATCAAAAATACAATGAAATGAAATTAAATCGGAACATCCATACATCTAAATATTTAAGATTAGTTTACAGCCAGTGTCGTGCGTAACATAACTCCATTCAATAATAAAATTAAAGGAGGTCATGTCGCGAGCACCATAGTTGACTGAATGTTTAGACAGACAATTCTGGATGTATTTTATATTAGGATACATTCCATTATCAAGCCCTGTATTCTGATAATATTTTTTTCCTCCATCAGGCAATAAAATTAAAGGAGGTCATGTCGCGATAAGCGATCCATCTGGCAATTGAATTTCATCATCTAAGCCGCACCAACAAGGTTTTCAATTATTTTTTTTCAAAGAAAAAAAAAAGAAACCTTTTAAAACGTTTTTCCATAAGCCAAATCATGAATTATTACATTTTATTATTTTATTTTCAGTTATCTATTTTATAGATATGAGTAGGTTTGTTTCCTCGTTCTTTCCCGGGAATTTGAAACCTCATGTCTGTAAGGCAGTTCGTGGGGATTCCGACTCGGAGGATTCCGACCCTGATTATCCAGTCTCTTCATATATAGACGTCAACATAGAAAGAATATCGAATGGTAGTCGATTCATCATTGAAAATATTTCAAAACATCTGCATGTGTCATCTCTTAAAGACTTGATACAAGATCATAATGGTATACCACCCAATCATCAGAAATTATATTATATTGATGATGATGATGATCAACATACCTTGAAGAGTCATCGTAAATTATCTTACTATCATGTTACTGATGGGTCTACTATATATTTAGCTGATCTCAGATGGTTCACCTCGCTTGAGGAGACGTAGACATGGTCGTTCCAAGACCAGCGTTAAATCTAGTAAATACAGGTAGATACAGGTATATATTACAGGTAATGGTAGATACAGGTAATGTTACCAGGTAGATACAGGTAATGTTATCTGGTAAATACAGGTAATGTTATCAGGTAGATACAGGTAATGTTACCCGGTAGATACAGGTAATGTTATCGGGTATATACAGGTAATGTTACCAGGTAGATACAGGTAATGTTATCAGATACAAAAAGGTAATGTTATAAGGAATTTTACAAATGTAGATCTAGACTTATTAGTCCAGCCATCAGTTTATAGTGCTATATATATATAGTTTCATGGTTTTGACTTTTGTTAGATGCCATGGCTCCACACTTGGTTTAAGTTATATTTTATTACATATCTTTGCTAATTAATTTTTGTCATCTTTCACCTTTAACTTACGTTTATATTTGACCTCAGTTAGTTGACCTTTTTACACCTACAGCTGTCACCTGTTTGTCTATTTGTTGGTTGTGTTATCTACTCAGTATCCAGTGTGACATAGTACTCACTAGTACTCACGGCCATTTGAAACATACAGAAGCTTGTAAATTTGTTAATAGCCACACTTGTTTTTTCTTGTCTCTGTTGAAGAATCCGGCGGACTCGGACGCTAAGAATACACATGATTATGTGGATTTATGTGTCTTTTCATTTCCAAACATATTACAAACATATATCTAGACTTGGTTAATCCAGTCATCCAGTGCGGTTTATATTACAAATGTAGATCTAGACTGGGTGAACCAGTCATCCAGTGCTATATATATTACAAATGTAGATCTTGTTATATTCAAATCAAGGCTAGTAATAAGGTTGCCCTTTAATCCCCTGGTTAAACCTAGAAATAAGCTTTTCTTTTAATACCCTAGTCGAACCTGGTAATAAAGTATGTCTGATATCTCTCAGGTCGGGCCTTTTTCACCATTTTATTGCTAAAAATTTGTATTTCTAGTCATGTTGCAGGTTGTCATATTTTTTTGTCTTCC